TCTCGTCTGATGGGCTGAGGTGGGAGGGAAAGACGTGTGGGGAGGACAGAGAAAATGTGTGGCAGGAGGACAAAGAGTGCTTTGGGCACTGGCCTGCAGGAGCGACAGGGTGTGCATGCACAAACACACGCACATAGGTACACACACGAACACACATATGTGTGCACACATAGGTACACACAGACACATACATGCACACAAAAACACAAGCGCATGCATGAATGCACACAAAAATACAAGCGCATGCATGAATGCACACAAAAACACAAGCACATGCATGAATGCACACAAAAACGCAGGCACATGCAGGTTCCCACACACATAAATACACACACAGGCACAGGCACACACACACACACACACACACACAGGTAGAACTACAACCTCCAGCTGCATGATGGCAGGGGCAGTGGCGGTAGGAACGTCTAGCTTACTCACCTGCCGGTGAAGCCCCAGCTCAGTTTCCGGAGTGGTGGCTGTCTGTCCAACACGTGTCATCTCTCTTCCAGGGTTTGAGGCACTGAGAAAGACAGCCATGGGCATTGGAGGGCTGTAAGTGTCTAGCAGTCGGCTCTCTGGGGTGCGGGGGTCGGGGGAGAGCCCTGATCTGTAGGGTTTGCCAATTTCTGTGGTGTAAACACTCCCTTGTGGATGATATCAGGCCTCCAAAATGCTGTCACTGAAAGCAGAGCTGGGAAGAGACACTAACAATCTCCTCTTGTAAGCAGTGTCAGCTGGCTCAGGTCCCAAGGGATCACAAGTCAGGTGAATGGAAGGGATGGTTTTCCAAATCAAAAACCACCATGACGCCAGACAGCAACAAGAAGCAGAACTGACACACCCTCTCGTGCACTGGCCAAAATGTATTTGTTCAATTGACAGTATTTACTCCGGTGAACTAAAACAGTGGAGAAATCTTAGGAAGGAAATATTCCCCTTTGACTTACAGCACACACAATGTATCGTTAACAAATCTAGAATCTTTTTCTGTCTAGAAATTGGCAAAATGATAAATACCGCTGTATAAGCTCTAGGAGACATCCTCTCTGATGATAATTTTGGTTGCTTTTGTTTATAATAACTTTGAACAGCGTTATTTCACAGCGAGTAAGGAAAAAACGGTGAATTTACTAGAAATGCATCCCGATCTAAGTGAGGCCAGTGTGAAAGAATTCACCGCCTAATATATGTGTGGTAGTTTTCACAAGGAAGATTAACAGTCATCTGAACCCTCAGAAAGGACTGGCTGGGGTGGGTAGAAGAAAACACCCCCTTCCTAAGAAATTACTAAGTCCTTCTGCAAGTCATGGTCTTGCACCACTGTACTGCAAAATCCTCACCAAACAATTTCGTTTCATTCCTGTGCTCCTGCCCAGTTGTTTGTAGCTAGTATTTTGTTAGGTTTTCTGGACATAAACCTGAGATGGCTCCCAGTGCAAACAGAGAAAGCTCCTGCTACAGTCCATTTGAAAAACGACCCCACTGGAATAGGGAAAGAGAAAACACATTTCTGTATTTATTCAAAAGCAATGGAGCCTCAAACAATAAGTTAAGATTATAACATTCTTGAGGGAGGCAAAGTCCTCAGTTTCAATATAAACTACACAATTGGTTATCTCTGTATCATTAAGAAAATGTCCCAGCCGAATGAACTAAATAGACTCTGGATAGCCAAGATCCTTTACAGAACAGCAATCAGAACAAAGGCAAAGCAAAGATAAAAATAGAACATCGCCCCCTGACACTAACGCCCAACGAAAACCTGCAAACCTATTCTCGAAGTGCGGGTTTAGCATCTCATTCTTCAGGAATTTATTAACGAAGCTATGCAACTATTAGAGCCTGGGTTTATGAGGCATTGGCTTCTTTCCGACTTCAGATAAACATTAGACTCCAGTATATAGGACGAAAGGAATCGACGACTTTGGGTGTGATCACTTTAAATAAATGTTAAGTATCCAAAGTCTCAGTCACGAGACATACAAATAAATGGGAGAGGAGCAGCAAACACCTGGTCACTTGACATGTGACCCAGCCAGGCTTCACACAGCTGCAACCCCAAGAGGCTCCTGTGTGAGGAAACCGGAGTCGCAAAGGAGAACTTCCACCCGTGTTCTCACAGCGGGTTGGTGGGGAAGTCAGAGTCAAACCTGAGGCTCTTCTGCGTTTTACCGTGGTCCGAGGAAGATAAGAAATCTGTAATCAGCCCGAGAGGCACCCAGCTCTTGCCCTCTCCACAAAGAAGGACCAAACGGCAATTAGGCAAGCACGTGTCGAATAGAGCGTGTAAGACAGCACATGGGAATTGGGCAGAGAAGCGACAGGGCTCCACGAAGACACGGAGGAGAGGGAAGCAAAGCAGCCGCCCGGCCAGGACTGGCTCAGGGCAAAGGCGAGCAGTTGATCCCCAGCTGTCCACATTGCACCCTGCATGCCTGCCGCCCCAGCCATGGGGGAGCCCCGGCCCTCGCAGACCCTGAGCCCAGGACAGGGAACTTCAACACCCCACCGTCAGAACTGAAGAGATCATCTGGAAAGAAAATCAGTGAAGAAACATCAGATTCAACCTGCACTATACACCAAATGGACCCAACAGGAATTTACAGAACATTTCGTCCAACAGCTGCAGAATACAGATTCTTTACATTAGTGCATGGAACATACTCCAGAAAAAAACATATGTTAGGCCACAAAAATAAGTCTTGATAATTCTTTAAAAAACAAAATCCAAATCACATCAAGTATCTTCACAATGGAAGAAAACTAAAATCAATCACAGGAGAAATTTTGGAAACTGTTACAAATACATGGAAATTAAACAACATGCTCCTGAATGACTATTGGGTCAATGATGAAATTAAAAAGGAAATTTTTAAAAAATGTCTTGAAACAAATGAAAATGGAAACATAACATGCCCAAAGAGCTATGCCATACAGGAAAAGTAGTGCTAAGAGGAAAATTTATAGCACAATAAACACCAACATCCAAATGTAGAAAGGTTACAAATAAACAACCTAATGATGCATCTCAGGGAACTAGAAAAGCAAGAACAAATCAAACTCAAAATTGCTAGAAGGAAAGAATAAAAATCAGAGCAGAAATAAATGAAATCAAAACAAAAAAAAATACAAAGGATCAACAAAATGAAAAGTTGGTTATTTGAAAAGATAAACAGAATCAATAAACTGCTAGCTAGACTATACAAGGAAAAAAGAGAAAAGATGCACATAAATAAAATCAGCAACAAGAAAGGAGACATCACAGTGGGTGCCACAGACATACAAAGCATCATTAGACACTGTTATGAACAATTATACATGAACAAATTGGAAAACCTAGAGAAAATGGATAAATTTCTGGACAACCAACCAAGATTTAACCAGGAAGAAATAGAAAACCTGAACAGACTGATAATGAGTAATGAGACAGAATCAGTAATAAAAAGTTTCCCAACTAAAAAAGGTACAGGACCGGATGGCTTTACTGCTGAATTCTAACAAACTATTGAGGAAGAATTCATACTAATTCTTCTCAAACTATTTCAAAAAATTGAAGAGGATGGAATTCTTCCTAATGTATTCTCCAAGGCCAGCATTGCCCAGGTACCAAAATGAGATAAGGATACAACAACAACAACAAAAGAAAATTGTAAGCCAATATCCCTGATGAACACTAGTAAACTGAATACAAAAATGCATCAATGAGATAACATTGTGATCAAGTGGGATCTATCTCATCCTTTTGATGCGAGGATGGTTCAACATATGCAAATCAAAAAATGTGATCTATCATATCAGCAAAATCAAGAACAAAAACACATGATCTCCTTAATAGACACAGAAAAGGATTTTTTTGTTTGTTTTTTACAAAGAGAGAAATGGGTTCTCACTTTGTCACCTGGGCTGGAGTACAGTGGCACAATCATAGCTCACTGTAGCCTCAAACTCCTGGGCTCAAGCCATCCTCCTGTCTCAACTTCTCAAGATGCTGGGACTACTCTACCATTTTGAAACTGTGCAATCTTTGGCAAGTTACTTAACCTCTCTGGATCTCAGTTGTTCTCATTTGCAAACTGGAGTTAATAATACGTATCACTGTATTATAACAGACATTGCTGTTGAAAGTGTTAGATAAACCAGGTATTGTGTAACACATGAGAAAGGCTAAGTGATTTTCAGCTATTATTTTTGTATGTCATTGATCCTAAGACACATATTTTTTCACAGTTTAATATTTCTTCATTGCATCTTACAGCCTATGGCATCTGTGTCGAATTCTAATGTGTCATTGTTTCAAATTTTAGTGATCATCCTACATCAATGGGGTCTTGATTTGATGAAATATTGTCTTATAATTATCAGTACTATTATTACCGAAGAGATTTGGCCATAAAATATTAATGATGCTGCTTCCACAAGCTGTGGACAATAAGCACCTTATTATTTTATAATAGCAGGGCACAAATTTCCCAACTGGAAGGCTCTCCTGGGGACCTCCGGGCAAATGGCTAAGATGGATGCATATGGCCTTCTAGCAGCAGCGGACTTTCTAAAGATGTCTTACTTTAAGCAAGCTCAAGATATGAAAATCCAGATTTCTATTTAGAAAATTAATTAGGAGGGAACACTTTAAAATAGAAGAGCTTCACAGAAACATCCATTTAGAGCAGTGTTTTTCAACATTTTTTCATCATGCACTTCCCTAACAATGAGCCTGTTTAGACATTTTTGTCCTAATCACTCCTCAGTGAAATTTTAATATCAAAGACATATTATATATATCTATGTATTGTTTGTATATTTTGGCAGTATATATAAAAAGATATATAAAATATGTATAAAAGAGTACCATTTGTTGCACAAACCTCTCCTTCAAAATTTCACCTCCTTGGATGCAATATCTCGTCTTTGAGAATGAATACATTACAGACAGATCTTCAAGGACACTTAAAATATTGTATGATTTTGGAAATTTTTATTTGCACTCAATTTTCCCATGACACATCAACTATGGATAGGAAGGCATACAAGTAGTATATTTGATAAATGTCCACAGTGGGGTGCCCACTACATGTTTATTACAGGCTAATGTCTGTCCAGCTGTTTTTTAGACCATACTACCCAAGCAACACACCAGAAAGCTGGGACACGTTTGAGCCATATTTAACCTCTATAATGGAAGAAAATGAGTCTCAAAGTGAAGTAGAGTTTTTTTTTTCATGTGCATAAGTGTTCATCTATTCCAATGTTTCATTCAAATAGCCATTATTAGCATTATTTCTACAATAGCTCCCCAATATTTTTTCTTTTCTCCCACTGTTATTTTTCTAGTAGCTGAAATCAACATCCTGATCAACAACTTTCCCAAATATTCTCTACAGTTAAACTCCAAGGGCAGGATTCTCTGTATCCCTAATCTCAAGGGCCATGGCCAGGCAGAAGTTCCCTGGGCCCTCACCCTCCAGGCCCCAGGCCCCAAAGTAAGGACTCCTGAAGCAGCTGCTTCCTGTTCTCCACTTCCCACTTCCTGCCTCTGCTTCCTGCTTCCCACTTCCTGCTTCCTGCTTCTGGCTTTCCACTTCCTGCTTTTGGCTTTGGCTGAGAGTCCAAAGGAGCAGGAATGATGGGCTCCCGGACTATGGTGCCTTTGCCTCAGAGTGGATGGGGGAACCCAGACAGGGGCTTGGTCCAGAGGATGTGCAGGAGTGCTCAGGGACCAGGCTCTGAGCAGCACCCCCAACCCACCCCACTGCCCAGGAGATGAGCAGTCTAATTTGATGTTTCAAATATCTTTTTAAAGAGGCCAGGGCCTTCTACTCCACTATATATGAGATAAATAGCCTAAAATGTTAAAAACAAAACAACAGCCTGTGAGAATTTTCACCTCAGTTTTAGCTCAATACAAGGAGTCTAGAAGGTTCTGAAGCATTCCTGTGGCTGTCAGCTATGTGCTGCTAAGCCTCGGGAAAACAAGGGACCTGCTTAGAGTCTTCTCTCCTTCCTGGGGTTTGAGGGCCTTCTGTCATTCTTGAAAGGACCCTTCTAGTGTGACAGTGTTTGCTCTGCTGGAACCCCAACCCTGTCTGCCTCTACATCCCACTGAAGCAGGCGGGGCCAGCGTTGGCCTCAAGGCTTCTCCTTCCTTGTGTGATGGTGTATCGGGTCTCTGACCTGCAACAAGGTCGGCCAAACTCAAGGTCCCCAAGGATGCAAATTGTTGAGGCTGCAGAAAAATCCACCATCGTTATTCCTGGATAGAGAGTCCTAGGCTTGGCGCCCCGTCCGGATTTTCCATCTAATCATAAATAAATGATAGCAGCTCTTTTCTTGTTTTGATAAGTGGAGGAGATCCACGATGAAGAGGGCTGAAAAGGCAGATGGGACGTTCCTGAGGACTCGAAAGGGCAGAGGAACAGGAAGCAAAGGCCACCTTGCCCGACTCCACGGTTTCTCCAGGGCTCTGATCTGCTGCCATTAACTCTCACAGAATCGAGATGGTTTCAAGAAGGTCGCTGCATATCCGATGTCCAGACTCCTGTGTGGCTCAGGGAGAATACCGGCAAGAAGCACCTGTAATTTTAAGTTGGTTGGTTATATATTTAATACTTTTAATTCGCAATTGGGGTAAATTCAAAATCTACTTTGCAGAATATCACCTAGCAAATAAAGGCAGATCATGCAGATGACCTAGCACTGATGTCAAGGTGTGTCAAAGAACACTTCCTGCTAATGAAGCATAACACAGAAGCCGGAAGGTTTGGCATTAGAGGAGCCGAATGGGGAGGAGGCTCACACACATACATGCACACACATACACATACATGCATGTACACACATGCACACTGTCATTATGCTGTTTTCTGTCATTGCAGCTATTACAACCTGAAGGTACTTCAATGATTTATTGATTGATTTACTTGTGTGTCATCTGTTGACCACTGTTAGAAATGTCCCTGAGTACAGGATCCTTGTCTGTCTTGTTCAGCTCTCTACAGGACCTTGAGCAATGCTGGCAACCATTCCTGTTTGTGAAGAGGGGAGGGAGGGCTCAGCGGCTGAGCATTTATCCCACAACAGGTGCTGAGACTAGACACGCTGCTATGGCCATGCACCTTTTGGTGGTGTTGATCTCCTCAATGGTTTAGCAGGCCAAATGTAAAACTAAGGATATGAAGAATAATCATCTCTTTAATTCTAAAAGAACTTAAAGGGCAACTACATAAACTAAAGGCAGCAAAATGGTCTCAGATACACTGGAGCCTTGCAAAGTCACTGAAGGGAAGAATGAAACAAAAACACCACAATACCCAGCCGCCGACTGGGCAGGTACAAGAAGCCTCATGGAGCAATTTGGTGTTGACACACCCTGGTGAGCCCACAGCCCTGGGAAGTGTTCCAATGGTAGGACCCTTATTCTTCCTGGAACTCTAGGGCTTGCTTGCCTTAGCTGATAACTTTTCCTTGGTCTAGGGAGCAGAGTACGTTCTTCAGGTTGAAACCAACAGAACAAAGTACTGGCACACAAAGCTTGATTAGCCTTTATTCTAATGTACTTCTGTAGAAGACACAGAAGCTGTGCGTGATCTGGCTTCATAGGACACCACGCACAGGAACCGGGGAAGAGTGTGAGCTATGGAGCATAGTACGCCAGTGCTTTGGAGCAAGAGGGTGTTCAAACCCAGTTCCAGTCTGCGCTGGGGACAACACTTTAGGATGTTCGTCAGTAAGCTGGAGGGCTTCGAGAAGATGGGGCCACTGTGATCGGAGGACCAGGGGTCTATCACCCGAGGAAAGAGCAGGGATATGTACCCTGGACAAGTGATATTTTCAAAGGGCCTGGGAACCTTCTACAAGCCTGGCACAGTGAGGAAGGAACCAGGCAGTCTGACTACATAAGATGGACAAAAAAGTTAGAGCAATGATACAGGAAAGCAAACATGATGCAAAGAGGACTCATGTAGCAGGTGGAGCCCTCTGACAACTGGATGTGCAAGAGTGAAAAACAGAGCTCCGGCATCATTCTGACCTGGACTTAGTTAGGGGAAGGTCCTATTAGGTGCAGGGGTCCTGATTTGGGTTGCATTGCCCCCCGTGCCCCCCACACAAAGATAAGCTGTAGCCCGGACTGCTAGTGCCTCAGAGTGTGAGATTGTTTGGAAATCAGGTCTGTACAGAGGTGATTCAGCCCAAAACTAGATCACTGATGGATGTCCTCACAAAAAAGGGGAATTTGGACACAGAAACGCATCAAGGGAAGACAACATGAACAGACATAGGAGGAATATGGCCATCTACAAGCCAAGGAGAGAGGCCTGGAAGAGGGAACAGGTCTTCACAGCCCTTAGAAGGAAGCAATCCTGCTGACGCCTAGATGTTGGACTTCCAGCCTGCAGGAGCAGGAGACAATCAGTTCTGCTGTTGAAGCCATCCTCTCGGCGACACTTGGTTACAGCAGCCCCGGGACACTAGTAAGGGTCCTACTCCCCAAACACATGGTGCCTCTTGTGAGGGGCTGAGCTGGTCTGCATGGTTCCAAAACCAACTCCTTCCCAATCTAGACTCTTTCAAACATAGATTCCTGGGCCCTCCCATCACCAGAGACTCATTCAGTTGGGTCGGCACTAGGACCCCACATCTGCATTTTCTGCATTGTAAAAACAGTCCCAAGGTATGGCAAATGAATGGTTGGTTTAGTGCCACTGGATGGACAATCCTGAAAGCGTGTCCCAGCTGTGTGTGCCTCTACGTGAAGCAAAGCATGAGAAGGGGAGGCGTGTGCAGGCGTGTCTCCGTATGTGTCAGTGTGTCCATGTCTGTGTCATTCTAAGCATTTGCCCATGTTCAGAAAGTATCTTCATTTCAATATTCCACATGTGTAAATGAGAGAAGAAAGGTAAAGAAAACAGGTTTAATTGGTTTGTCTTTATTAAAATTGGCCTCTGTCTAGACCCAGGCAGGAGCACCAGCAGCCGTGTCCTGCCTGCCTCTGCCCGCACCGCTCCAGCCGAGGCTGCGGAGCTTCCCTGACTAAGCGGCCACCTGAGCAGGGCCACCTGAGCAGGGCCACCTGAGCAGGGCCACACGGCAGCAGGGCCACCTGAGCAGGGCCACAGGGCAGCAGGATGTGTTTCAGCACCCAGCTGTTCATAGCTCCTGCCAGGCTGCTGCAGGTGCTGGCAGCTGCCAGATAGCAAGGGTTGCTCTACAGAGTAAATAAATGAATATAAGTCAAAGCTTGCATTTTCACAAAGCCCAGACTATGGCACCTATAATATGCCATAGTTTCATTTTTTGAAGACAGAAATAGCTTCTCAATCCAAAGTGGGCATTTTCTGCATTTTGTTTTATATCAAATTAGCTAGTTCCTATGAATGATACCATTTTCACACACTAGCTATGCTGTTACATCTGTGCATAACAGTAGGCAAAAACTCACCTGAGACATCCTGCCCGTTCCCAGAGTAGTTAGCTAACCTGTGAGAGGACAGGTACGCCCTGGGCATGTTTGGAGATAAGTGGAGACGGCTGAACTCATGTGGCATAACAACATACTTTAAAAGAGCACTGGTTTACCTAGTCCCTGTGTAACATTTTCCAATTTCTTTTAACATAGATAAAGCAGACTGAACAAGTTATATCAACCTGAAAGCTATATCATTCCCAAGTTCAGCTCTCTTTTTCTTTTCCTTTGCAATAGCTGTTAACAGGTACACAACAAATTACTCCGAAATTTAGAAGCTTAAAACAGCAAACATTTTTTTTATCGCACAGTCTTTGTGCATTAGGAATACAGGTGTGGCTTAGCTGGGTGCCTCTTGCTCAAAGTCTGTCATGAGATTGCACTCAAGCTGCCTGCCAGGGCTTGGTCTTATCTGTAGGCTCAACTCTGGGGGTAGTGGGCACAGATCTGTTTCCAAGTTCACTCACGTGGTTGTTGGCAGGGCTTGGTCTCTTGCCACGTGGTCTTTTCACGGGGCTGCTTCACACCTGCAGCTGGGATTTCCCAGGGTGAGTGAACTGAGAGAGAGGGAGGGAAAGAGAGACAGAGGGAACACCCAAGATGGAAGTCACAGTCTTGTATCACCTAATTTTGACTGTGACATCCCATCACTTTTTCATATTCTATTCATTAGAAGCCATTCTCTAGGTCCAGCCCACACTCAAGGGAAGGAGATTACCCAAGGCCATGAATATATGAGGAGGAGAATATTTCTAGGGGTGATGTTAGAAGTTGCCTACCACATTCTGAATCAAAGCAAAGTTTCAACATGGACATTCTACCATAAAGTGTTTGTTCTTCACAGTTCATGTCACAGGTAGGAAAGATGGCACCCTCTGGAAGGGTCTACCTAAATCATGTCTGTGTACAGGTAAGAAATGAAGAGTTTAAAATAAATCACGGAAAATCCCAAAGTGGCCCGTTATCTGGAATGCTAACTGAATACAAAGTGCTTTGCTTTCACTTCTTTACCGATACCTGCAACAGAGCTAGAATGTAAAGGAAAGCATCCTTGACCTGATTTTGTGTCTACAAATAAGTCTATGCCTAACCCTGGGATGCTGCCTTAGTTGGTGCATGAAGAGGAGCAGGGCTTGGCAAACCTTCTACAAAGGGTCAGACATTAGAGATGTTTTACTTTGAGGGCCACATGGCTTTTGGCACAGCTACTCAACCCTGCCATTGCAACACAAAAGCAGCCATAAATAATACGTAAATGAGTGGGTATGGCTGTGCTCCAATAAAACTTTATTTACACAATCGGGCACTAGGCTCACAGGTTGTAGTTTGCCAAGCTTGCAGTAAGGAATAGCCTGCATTCTACTTGAGAATAAAACAAAAATTAGCAATAAAGTTACAGTAGAGCTAGTACATTACTATTTCTGACAAAGCATTAAGGTGACATTTGTCTAAAATGCTTCTCCATAAATATGTGCAGATTATATTAAGAGGCCGTATTGACAGTCACCATCCAAGTGGTGAATATGTGACCTGTGAATGCTTATTTAAAATGTTGTATGAGACTGTTGAACAAATGGTGTGAGGGTAGTCTGGTCTGAAATTTCTTTTGTCATCCTAATGATGAACTTTGACCTAATCAGTTGGAAGCCACTGATTTCATTCCTTCATGGTGGTACCATTAATTTTTTTCAGTTGATGATAAGACAAAAATGAAATTGCTGGGCTGTCCATGAGAATCCCATCTGTTTGGGAGACACGAGTCATAAAATGGGGGGAAAAAAAGCTCATAATAATAAGTACTAAACCAAAATGAAGGAACAGGAAGAAGTTTGGTCATGAAGATTTTTTAAGTCTCAGTGCCTAGAAATAAGAGTCAGGCAAGTCACAATTCCAAAGAAGTCTAATGGAATCTTCTCCTTCCTAATCCGCCCACATAACCAGAGAAGTCTATTATTTCAGACAAAGGCTGACGGCTCCCGGGGCTGCCATTCCATCCTTCACACGGCACCTCAGATATCCCAGACGCTGAAACTCAATTTGGCACGTGCCCCCAGTACAGATCTTTTCCTCTTAGGGGAGGGTGAGAGTGGGCAGCAGCCAGCAGATGCAGCATCACAACCTCCCCCAGCCAGGGAGGACACAGCGACATTCATGCCTTCCCCGTGCCTTTCATGGGTACCTGCAAATCAGACACACTGGTGGCCTCCTGGGACAACATGACGGGAAGCTGTTTGTAATCACAGCCCACTAACGCACGCAATCAGTCAACGTCTCCTCCTCAACTGTGATCAAAAATTAATTTAAAGAGATTGAACTTTAAAGAGGGGCATGGACGTGATGTCTGTAAATCAATGAGCTAAATATTAGTCTTCATAAGTGTTGTAAAGTCAGTTAATGATCCCTTCTGCGGCAAACATAATTCTTAACCATTAACTCCATTACAGACAGCTTCTCTCGAAATGCCTCAGCCGACACATCACAACACACAGCATTCACTTTCTAAACAACCGTGAGAAAAAAATACGGAGATACTAGGAATTCAGAACGGCTGCAAATTTCTGAGTTCCTAGCAGACCCCTGTCCCCTAGAAATTATAGATCAAGTGATGGTCAGTGGTTGTCACACTTCCGCATGCATCAGAATCACCAGAAGGTCTTATTAAAGCACAGATTGCTGGGCCCCAGCCCCAGGGTTTCTGATTAGCAGATGTGAGAACTCCGAGTTCTTTGCAAGCTTTTGGAGATGCAGATGCGACTGGTGAAGGGACGGCACTTTGAGAACCATTGCTCTAGAGAAAGAGTCTGCAAACTCTTTACAAAGGGCCAAATAAATATTTCCGATTTGGAGCCCACACCACCTCTGTTGCAACTTTTCAACTCTGCCACTGCAACGCAAAAGCAGCCACAGACCATACATAAACAAATGGCTCGGCCGTGCTCCAGTAAAACTTCATGTCCTAAAACAGGTGCTGGGCTGGGTTTGGTCTTTAGCCAGAGTTTACTGACCCCTGCTAGAGAATGAAGGACTCTCTTCAAAGGACTTGCTCTACCTCCCCAGCGTGAACATCCGTAAGGGACAAAGTGTACGCAGGGCCAGCGTCCCCTGCCCCAAGCTTCTTCCTGAAGGATCTTGCCAGCACATAACACGAAGCAGAAATGCCATGGCACCTGACTTTATCTTTCAAAACACGCCCCAAGGAAATGTCCAGAAACAGCACAGCATGTTAACTTTGGAAAGCTCCAGAAACTGGGGTGTTGTTCCGCACTTCAGGTTGGTTTAGAGGAGAATGCCAGAAGCCTACCTCCGTCACTTGTCACCATGCACAGTTTGGGCTTCCAGTGTACCGGTGTGTAAGCTCTGAGAAAGCTGAAAGTTTATCTTCATGTTCTAGAAAAGTGCTTGGCATAAGGGAAGTGCTCAAAAATGTTTTGTTGAATGAAAGAAAGGCTATGCAATCAATAAATCCCTTCCTGGCCTTGGGATTTCTAGATTTGCCCTCAGGGTCTATTAGCCAACCCTGCCCCGGGACTGTAGGAACAGGAACCGGAACCAGACTCCTGGATGGAGGCTCAGGGTCAGTGCACGTCTACCAGCATGACCCCACCTGAGCAGATGATGAGGACAGAGTGCCCTTCAGTCTCTAAGCAACTGGAGCAGCGACAGCTTGCTGCTTGGAAACTCAAGGACCACTCAGCTCTCCAGGCACCTAAGTGAAAGTTGGAGAGGTTGGAAACAAACACCAGGGAGCCTGGGATCAAAGCAAAGAGCAGAGGGCTGTTGACAGAGAGAGCCTGGACTGACCCAGGCTCTGATGGGACCGGAGAGACTTAGGTAGTAGTTTGGTGGCTGTGCAGGGGGAGCAGGTGGGGGGACCACATCTGCTTGTTATGTCACCTGCTTAGGTCACCTCCCACTAGAGGGGAGGTGACCTAAGTATCCATCACAGACAAATGAATCCAGAAAATGTGTTGTATGCATGATGGGATACTATTCAGCCCTACAAAAAAAAAAAGGAAATCCTGTCATTTGTGACAACATGCATGAACCTGGAAGACATCGTGCTAAGTGAAATGAGCCGGGCACAGAAAGACAAATGCTGCAGAATCCCACTTACATGACCAATCTAAAATAGTTGAACTTTATAGAAATAGAGAGTAAAATGGTGGTTGCCAGAGGCTGGGCAAGAGGGAAGTGGGAAGTTTCTGTTCCACAGGTAGGAAGTTTCAGTTATGGGAGATGAATACATTCTAGAGATCAGCTACTCGACATCGCGCCTGTGGTTAGCAATACTGTACTGTGCACTTAACGATCTGTTAAGAGGGTGGAGCTCACGGTAAGTGCTCTCACTGCAGTAACAAAGAAGAATCCATGAGAAGTGCTGCTTTTTATGTATGTGCTGTTTGCAAGTTAGCAAGGAGGAAAACTAGATGCTGAGGTCTGAAAGTCTTCTGACTAGCAGGAAAATTTATGGAAGATATAATCTGTGGTGATGAGCTAATTAAGTACAAGGCCAGTGGGGTCATTTTGCAGCTTAAGTCATCAACACATAGGCACAATTTATGAACATTATTCCCTATAAGGGGTAGGTTCAGGAACTGACGCAATTGTCTTAAGAGTGTTTTACAACCTGGAGTTATACGAGGTGTGGGGTTAAGGGGGTACATTCCCGATGGGTAGAGATAGGCTCTGGGGCAAAACTCTTGGATAACAGGAGTGGGTTATTTTTATCTCTTAGCATCACATTTCAGAAGAGCCTGACAGGGAGGGTCAGTAACTTATGCTGGCTAACAGAGCACAGCCACATTGACATGGTGCAGAGAATTTCCAGCCTGATTAGCCAGTTGACAAGGCTTCTTGCTGAGCTCACTGGGTTATAAATGTTCTCTCCACCTCTGCGTCCTTAGCACCACCCGGGAAGGGCATTTAAAGCAAAGCACCTGAGTTAAAGGAGGTCGCGCCCAAGAATGCCGCATGCCAGGGGGTGGGAGAGGCGGGATAGCGGGAACCCAGAGCTGCCTGTGCGAGGCAGGGTTCTCCAGAGAAACAGAACCAACATGATGTGCGCATGTGCGAAAGAGAGAGCGAGACATAGAGCTTTATTTTAAGGAGCTGGCTCGCTAGACTGGAGGCTGCAGTCAGTCTTTTTCCTATTAAGGCCTTCAGCCGATCGGATGAGGCCCACCCACAAGCTGCAGAGCAGTCTGCTTTACTCAGAACGTTAATCTCATCTAAAACATTCCTTCACACAACATTTAGAACAGCGTTTGACACAACTGTCCGGGTGCCATGGCCCAGCCAGGTTGACACATACAATGCACCAGCACATCAAGTCACCCTCCGGCAGCATCCTAGGGAGGCTCCGTGGCCGGTACCTGCAGAGTTTCCTGGCGTTCTTCCTTTCAGAGCCTGGCCTGCATTCTGCAAATATTCCAATCAAAGCTCAGAGTTTATTTCTCTGAAGAAGAAAAGAGAAAAGGAATAACAACATTATTAAGTGGTAGAGGAACAGTAAATAGGCCAAGTCCAAACTCAGCCTGGCCCAGAGTGTTATTCCCCCACATTTGTGCTGAGTGATGTCACATCAAGCGACACCTTTTCCCCAGCTTGCCTGCAATGCTTAAGCGCACCTTCTTAACTGAACAGAACGCCCCGTGGTTCTTTGGCAAGGCAATGAATAGTCATGTTGCAAGTCTCCAGTGAGCCACTGAAATTGTATATTTTCTTTTATTTCCTCCATGTCCAAAGGTAGTTTATTCATTTGTGTCAGGGAAAAGCTCCTGAATGGGGCCCCAGAGGGCCCCTCCAAACCTGAAGGATGGCTTTGGGAATTGTTCTTATCTGGATTAACAGCAATCGTATTTCCCCAGCTCGGAACTTTTCTAAAATTGAGCAAGAACAGAACTGGCTTTTCAGCAAATGTGCTGAGGACTGGGATCCACCAGACGTCATTATTCACGACATTCCCTGGCCTGCAAAGTCTCACACACATACTTCAGCCTGAACAGAACAGTTAATCAATTATAGGAAATCACTTGCTGAGAAGAAAGATGGTTTAAAAAGAAACCCAGTAGTTTTAGCAAGAAAAACAGGCTTTAAATTTGTTAGGGAAATTACTTGCCTTCTCTAACTGCAGAATAGTGAGGGGGAATAAAGCTGAAATGGGAGGAGCCTGAAGGAATCTTCCAGACTCATGCTCGGGTATATGCTTGTTAATATAAATTCAGCAATTATAATGTTAGGAAACTTTAAAGTGATGATACAAAGAGTTTAGTCCATGTTCACATTGATTCCTAGAGAGCTGAATTCACCAATAAATTAGCTGAAATCTTATAAAATGCCATACATAAAAGCCCCTTCTATCAGCAAGGTGATCAGGTTAAAATTTTAAGTAATTAGTCATATCAACAGCATGGACCCCTGATATAACATGATGGAAAAGGCACTATGGTCTTCCTTCCAAAAACCTGTAACTACTGGCTAACAATGATAAAAAACATCAAACAGTAATTGAGGGACAATCTACAAAATAAGATAGTTAAAAAGAATTGCTATCTACTTTTTTCTGGAAGTCTGGAGGGACGTACAACAGAATATCATAAGTGGTCAACTCTGTGTGCTGGTGGGATAGTTCAGAAGTGGTGACTTGCTTTTTCCTTTGGGCATTACTCTGTTATTTAGGTTTGCCAAAGTGTATTGTTTTTGTATTTTTATTTTTGCATTTTTAAAAAAGGTATTCATAAGAAGTACTTCTTCCTTGAAAGTAGTCAAAACATCTATAGGGCCTGTTGAGAAAAGGCACAACATGCAGCTTTGGAGGAAAAATAAGCCAACAGCTTTCTGTCAGAGATTTTTTGCCACTCCTCACTTAAAAGCCTGTGAAAACAGCCCTTTTGAAAAGTGATGTCATTAACACTGTCAAAACTCTGAGAGTGTCCAACCTGCCTTTATGGAGGCAAACAAAGCAGCAGGAGGGCTGAGTGGATGGATCCAGAAATAGTCTGGTGCACAGAGGCCCAGACGGTGGGGGCTGCTGCTGTCCCTCCCGCCTGGGAGTCGGCCTGGAGGAGGGGAGCCCAAGAGTCCCCCCTGCTGACCCAGGCCATGGCTCGGGTGACACCAGCCTGCCTTGCAGCCACAGCCTATACAGAGCCGACATCCCCACTGCCCACAGGGTGGTGGTGGTTTTATCAGTCCAAGTCTTTGTTTAAGTCTTCATCTTGAATCAATGAATGTCTAAGGAGTGATCTAAAACAGCAGTTCTCAAAGAGTGTTCTGCGGACCCCTAGAGGTTCCCTAGATGCATTTGGGGGGTCTGGGAGGCCACATTTATGATAATACTAAGAAGTTCTTTGCAGTTTCCCACTCTCATTCCCTCTCGAGCACACAGCGGAGTGTTCCAGGGGCTACACAACGCGCCATGGCAAGAAACTGGGTGCAGAAGCAGAGACACGAGTCCAGCTGTCTCTGTCAGCCACACTGACGGCAGCCCCTCCTGGCCCTCTGCCACCTTTCCACGCACAGTCTGCCCTCAAGTCAGCCTGGAAGAATCACGATTTGGGGACCGAGGGCTGCAGCCTCCACCCTCCCTGTGCTTCTCCTCGGCTGGTGGCCCTGTGGACGCCGCCTCCTGTCTCCCGTCAGCTGGAAAGGCTCAGGTCCCCCACCCTCTGTCCATAAAACCTGCTCACTGTCACCCACAGACCAGCAGGAATTTCTTACTGTTCTAGAACATTCATCGTGTTTTGCTATGTAGTATTTGTTTACTTGGCTGGCTGTTTCTCTAAAATCTCCAACAATGTGTTTTGAGTAGACTTGTGTTTAGTCCTTTAAAGTTTACAAAGCGTTTTCTACATGCCGTCACATATGTTCCTAGTGAACATTCTAGAGGGGTTCATTATCGCCCCATTTTAAGGTGAGGGCGTGAGGCTTGGAGCGAACGAAGTTTTCCTGAGGCGACACAAGTGACATGTGGTCAGACTGGGTCTCAAACCTAGGTCTCCAGACTTCCAGGGTCTCATGGGCCTGAAAAGGCAGGAGTGACCCCTTACCGCCCTTCTGCTGTTTGTCTCTCACTTAACGTGACATTCTCACACCTGACGACCATTTTGAAAGGATTTTTAGGCCTTTTTTTAAAGGTGAAAGGGCAAAATAATGTCCTGAGTCATTGAATCCTGGATAGATTCTTTTTTTTCCTCCTAATATGATGAATTTATTTGAGAATACGCAAAAAGAAGCGTTATAATCTGAGAAGCACGGCTATGGCAGGACAGGTGCATCCAAATAGGGGAGGGTAAAGGAAGCTTTTATTGACAAAACAGAGAAGTTCATGCAAGCTGCTGAGAAACAGAGTTCACTGGTTCCAGAGGATCAAAGAGCAAATTGGCATCAGTTCAGTGGGGATGCTGTCACCGGGCAAGTGTTCTGTCCAGGGTGTCCTATCTGATTTGCCACAGTCCCAGACAATGTCTGGTGATAAACCTTGTCATAGAAATCATGCATACGTGGAAAGGTGCAAGCTGTGTAAAGCATGAGACACGGGAAGGACTCGAGAAAATTTCTTGTGAGATTATTTCTAAAAGTCTTTGAAACCTTTTTTATCTTCAGACATGCAAGCATGAGCTCTCTTTTGTGCTCTCCGGGCCTCAAGGTGTCTGGGTCTGACTAGAGTGACTTCATCCTGGTATCTGCAACTTTCAATGCTTAGCAAATCCTGGATGGATTCTTAAAAAAAAAAAAAAAGTAACAAAAATATGTTGCTCTTCAATTTCCAGGCTCCCTTGAGATTATTTTATCTTGCTGAAAGCCTCTTTATTCTTGATGTCTTTGTCATGTTTATTTTTTATACTTATAGCAGTTTGTATACCCTTAGAAGAAATTTTATACAAGGAGATAAATGCTAAGACATAATATTAAATAACTATTGACATCCCCAAGTAAGAAAGGTATTATTGCCTCCAATACAGAACTGTAATCACAGAATGTATAAGTAGCTTGTACAAGGTCAAATAATGACTCAGTGGAAAAGCCAGAAACAAAATTATCCTTACTCCTCCCTCCATTTCTCTACCAAAATAAATTTTTCATAAATAACTTACAGCATTTGAAATTCTGTAGGATATCTGTATTCATGGTTGTATTACTCTCATTTCTGCAATTTCTATTTTCTACCTTCCAAATACAGATAAGAGGAAAATTTTACCAAGGTTCAGGCCAGATATTTTTTCTTTAAATATCCTTAACTAAAGTATAACCTCATATGTGACATATGTATGTGTGTGTGTTAAAAAAAATTATATTTAAATTAATACTATTTAAAGCCTACATGACATAATTTAGTAAGAAATATCCTGGATGTTACAAAGCAAAGTCAAGAATGACTGCTGCCCTCCTTTTATGAGCAAAATCAACAATGGAAGAGCAAGTCTGTGTCACTGTCTTAGTCTGTTTTGTGCTGCTATAACAGAATACCTGAGGCTGGGTAATTTATAAAGAATGGAGATTTATTTCTTACAGTTCTGAAGGCTGGAAAGCCCAAGTTCAAGGGCCCTGCGTCTGGTGAGGGTCTTCTAGCTGTATCATCTCATGGCAGGAGGAGGAAGGACAAGAGAGCACAGGAAAGAGGACTGAACTCATCCTCTGATCAGGAGCACAACACCTCGATAACTAAGCCAATCCTGCAATAATGGCAATGATCCATTCACAAGAACAGAACCCTCATGACCTAATAACTTCTTGAAGGTTTTACCTCTCAACACCATTGCATTGGGGATTAAGTTTCAAACACATGAACTTTGGGGGACACATTCAAACCACAGCAGTAGTGAATAAGAATATAAAAATTCTCATCCATCAGACAGACAGAAAGCAGAAACCAGCCTGGAATAAGAAAGTAATGTTTATTGAACTGATTGATATGTGAGGTTATTTTAATATGCCCTGGGACAATTCGTGTATTTCATCTATGCTGATTTTAAAAAACTCCCTTTGCAGTAATAACAGTACATTCTCTAGTATATGATGGCTCACAAAGCACTTTCAAATGTACAACCAGTACAGTAGCAAGAGCTGGGCTCTCTTGGGTCTTCCATGCTAGCTACCGATCCTTATGCTTAGCCCAGCACAGGTTCAGCTTCTCCACCCAAATGGGCAAAGAACTCCCCGTGTCTCAGGATCCTGTGGGGAGTAAATGGGGTGACACAGAGCTGTACAAGTGTAATCACGTTTAGTCAAAGCCCTGAATTCTCACGACATCCCTGAGCGAGGTGTAAGCGTTCATATCTCTGAATTGCAGATAAGGAATGTGAGGCTCAGAAAGGTTTAGTGATATAGCATGGTTAGAAAATGTCTATGTGGGGAAGAGAACCTGCATTTTCTGTTTCTTCTTTGGATACTTTTTTTTAGCGCTCACAGCATTCACATTAAGTAGCAGCTTTGATTCAGCATCATTTGGGATTAG